ACACACACACACACACACACACACACACACACACACACACACACACACACTGCCTCAAACACACAACATCCTTAAAAATATGATGTCGTGCTGTAGATGACCTTACATTAACATATATAAAGCATATAAACATCTTAGTGATATTAATGCAAAGTTTCATAAAACTAATAAATACTTAAAAACTGTTGAATGAAGAACTTTTCATGCTCATTATACTTTTTACTTGAAATCATGAATCCAGAGCCAGTTTGGTCCTAATGGGCTCCCTCACTCAAGTTACTTATATAGTAATTAGTTACTAATTACTTATTATTTCTCAAAGGAAGTAATCCTGCTACTTTACTGACTACTTGTTTTCAAAATTAATTAGTTATATTATTAAATAGTTACTTTTTAAAAACACGATACACATCCTGAATGTTATAAAGCAACTTTTAGCACAATTCTATTTATCAAGGTTTGCTGTGTGGCAGGCAGAGGTTGGACCCAAACAGCTTTTATTCACTGGCAAAAGCAAACTGAGAAACACAGCACACGAGCAGTAGAAATAAAACAAAAACTCAAACTAGGAAAAATGACCTAAAAAGTGAGGATATGACATGACATGATAAAACATGATGAGTGAGGAACACACAGCTAATGAGGATGTGACAAGAAACGGGTGAAGACTGAGGACTTAAATACACCGGATAACCAGACGATAGGGAACAGATAGAAACACCGCTGGGACTAATTGGACATAACAGGACAAAGGGGAAGCAAAACTGAACACACTTACATAGAACATGTTAAAACATGACGTATACACAGAGACACGACTGCCTGGATACGAAACACGGAACACAGGAAAGACAGTGACTGAAACTAAAAGCTAGAACAACGTATATAACATCAAGAGAACTGTGAAGGTTCTCAGTCATCCAGGTCATCGTAGTCTGAGGAGCTTGGAAAGAAAAGCGTCTGGACTTCTTTGAGTTGCTTGAAGACGTTTCACCTCCAAAAATGTGAACGACATCCCAGCAACACGCTCAGACAAATACTGGTTCACCAAAAACAAAACGCCAAAACACAGACTTAACAACGTGGTGTATGCTGTACAGTGCAGCGAGGAATGCCCAGACCTCTACATTGGAGAGCCCAAACAGCCACTTCACAAGCGCATGGCACAACACAGAAGAGCCACCTCCACAGGACAAGACTCAGCTGTCCATCTGCATCTAAAGGTCAAAGGTCACTCTTTCGAGGATGCCAGTGTTCACATTTTGGACAGAGAGGACAGATGGTTTGAAAGAGGAGTGAAAGAAGCATCTATGTCCACTGTGAGCGACCACCTTTGAACAGAGGCGATGGCTTACGACACCAACTCTCTGCCATCTATAATCCAGTTTTGAGTTCCCTTCCCAGACGCCTTAACGCCCACTCACATCCTGGGCCATCTGACCTCAGGAATTCGCATGATAAGGTGGGGCCAGGTTTCACAATGTGCTCACCCGAAACTCTGGCTGATTGTGACCCACACCCAGTTTCACACCTTGGCTCATGTGATTAGAGGATCATCAGGGGGTCCTTTTGTCCCTCTGTGGGGGGAAACTCCCACTAGCTTTAAATCTGGGACTCCCCACGATTTGACCTTAGAACTGAAGAAGCTTCTTGGATGAGAGGTGAAACGTCTTCAAGCAACTTAAAGAAGTCCAGACGCTTTTCTTTGCAAGCTCCTTTGACTACGATGACCTGGATGAGTCTTCACAGACTTTAAGGCTGTAAACCACAAAAATATTTAAGGAAAGTAACTCTGAATTAGTGTGCAGACATTTTAACTTTGTAACTTTGTTATCAGCAAAGTCCTTAATGGGTGTAATACCTGCACCTTTGTAAGGTGACCATCAGAGTTCAAAGTAGAGGAAGGCAACAAATCAGTGATGATCTTGACTGGTGTAAAAGTCTCTCACAGCTGACACACGGACCCTGCTCGACAGGCTGCACTCATCTGGCATGGGGTTAGCAACTAGCCTTCACTCAGCGGCTGAGTTTTCACTGTAGCAGTCCCCCAGACCAAGGAAGATTTCCACTTCAAGATTCATTCAGAATCTAACAGTGCTGAGGTGCGCCAATACACCGTGAAAACTAAACAGAAATACAAAATACATCTTTTAGTTCCAAGGGCTGCAATGTGTTAATGTCGCGAGAGTTCGGTATCACGCTGCTTCGCGCTTCATTGAGAGCTGCCTACCGGCACATGTGCACCACAAAATGCGGTCTGAGCTTGAAGTGCAGCTTGCCACTAACTAAGCGACAGAGCCCTCTACTGGACACTAGCTGTAGCTGTACAGGCTTATATCAATAAACGAAAAACAGACCTTTACACATATTCCATTCAAAGCCATAACCTGCTGATATTTTTTATAAACTGTTTGATTAACACACATCTGAACATCACATTGTAAACACACTCACACGCAGAGAGACAGAGCTCAATAATTAAAAACGTGTGCAGCAGCTTTTGGTCTTTTATAAATAAAACAGATGCACAAAGTCCGTTTAGGTTTCAAATTAACAATCAAATAAAATCCATCTCAAAACATGTTTCTTGTCTATTTCAGTACCATGACAGGCAGCTTTAAACTCAGTAAGTAGGGAGTTGAATTACTATAACAAATCTAGTGTTATGGTTTTTAATTATGAGTTTTTTTTCTCCTAAATCCCTTTTTAAAAAGTAGTTGTCACATTCATGTTTCAGTTTCAGAATTAACTGTGTGTTACAAGTGGTTTGAGGAGGATTTCATTATCATCTGCTGTTCACAGTATATATCTCAGCTATAAATAAGACACATACACAAACCAACATTACAGTGACTGATGTACAACTGTATGGTAGCACTACAATAACCACTGTCTGATGTTTACTCTCTTCTACTTGGAAATTCTTGTACTACTGTGACTTTTATGTGCGTATCTTTCCTGTCATCTTGGGTGCGTTAAAGATGGGTGATGGCTGCCTTCTTGATCCAGCATTAAAAAGAATAGAAAAGAAATATACTCACTTCACCTTTAGGAAAATCTAAATTATCTAATGAATCCTGGTACTGAGCTAATCCAAAAGTAATAGACTGAGTTCAAAATTAAAATTATTTTAAAATTAATTTAAAATTTGCACAATGACATGTCATTTTTCTTTGCCTCATATTCCTGCATTTCTTTGCCCTTTTCAGTTACATGCCTTTCACGATAGCTGGATCTCGCTCCTTGTTGCTCTGAGTCGTCATCTTCTTCAGCAGGGTTACACATTTAGTTACTGTAATGTGTATGTTGCTCTATGTGATAACGTCTGGACTTAAATTTAAGTGAGTGTTACTTTAACTTTTGGAAACAATGCTCACATCAGACGTTTACACCATGTAAATAAACAGATTAGCACCCACATATTTGACAACATGTAACTGTAAATACTGCTGATATACCACAACGTTACTTTCAAGAAGAATAAACCCATTTTAATTTTTTCACTTACATTTTGAACAGATGCAAAACTTGAAAACCTGAGACGTTTAAGATCCACAAATGAATTTTCAAAAATAAGAAGGAGTTGAAAATACCACGAGGAGCTTTAGGGTTATTTTTGAAAAAGACTAAATTAATTGAATAATAGGCAGCAGAACTGAATCAAATGAAAGCATTACAATAAACTAATAAAGACATGTGGCCAGAGACAAAGGAAAGGGGATGGGGGCACTCATGCAAAAACAGTATATGCGCATGGTTGCGCATTTTTCATGTACACACAATTCCACCAAACTATCACTACTGACTGGCCTTTAAGATCTTTTCAGTCAGGAAAGAATCCCGAAATTGTTTGTTTATGCTTATAGACAGTGAGGTGGAGGCCGCTCCTGAAGCTTCTCTCCTACTGGAGGGAGAAAACACTGACGATAAACCAAAACAATCTGCAGCAAGAACCAGAACAATCCCGAACACCAACAGGTACGAGTTTTCATGCTTACAGTACCAATCAGATTATCTCTGTCTACACAGGTGTTTCCATGGTAACACTTCTAGGAAAATATTATGCGTCAGTGGTGACTGGTGGTAACAACATTTTGGGGTTGGAACTGGGTCAATAAAAGAAGATGTTATGAACCCGAAAATGGGGGAAATAATCCTTTCCTCTCCCAGTGAATTGATAAGTTAGCTCTCTGAGAAAGAAACGAACAGTCTCTAATTTTATGGTAGTTTCATTGTATAACATAAAAGTTATAAATTGTTGGTATGCACAGCGGTACAGTGTTTCTTGTAGTTGGTCACCAGGTTTGCATCCATCTCAGGAGAGGTTTTAGCCGACTCCTCGCTCTACAGATACTCTCTCCTGTAGACGTCTTGAAAGCTGCTGGACTGGACAACATTGCCCTCTCTAGCACCGCTGTTAGAGAGTCCAGCTCCACACTCCAAAGGGTTACTGTCCTTAAGGATCCATTTTTTTGAGTATCTTAGTGACCCTCAACGTGCTGCCCAGCTTGCAACAGCACAGAGGATAACACTGGAGTCTTTTAGCCTCCATTTCAAGATTGATCAAAGACGTCCTACCAACAGTTAATCTTAAATATGATCAGCCTGTCTATGCTATCAGCTACGTACCACGGGCTTTCAAGCTGGCGGTAGTTAAACCATTACCTAAAACCCATCGCTGGACTCAGGTCTCTTAGCTAATTATAGTCTTACTTTACATTTATTTTTTTTGAGTTTTGGTTGATGTCCTTCTCCATCAAAATGAAAATACTATAAAAATTGAAAGTTTTTACGTTTTTGGAAGTAAGCCAACTTAAAAATTCAGCAGGTGATCAAATAATTATTTCCTTCACTGTAATATTTAATTGTAGAAACAATAGCCAACTAGAGAAGTAACCGTGTGCCTAAATACACCTGAACTGTGTTTCTCTACTAGCAATAACCTCATTTGTCTCTGACTCTCTTTCCATAGGTCCAAACTGAATACTCGCATTCAGGACAGTGAAGCGAAACCCCAGAGCTTCCAGGTAATCGCATCCACAATTCGCTGGTAGTCTACTAGATGTGTTTCTTTTAATGTACTGAGAAATGTGAGTGCTGGTATTTCATATTTTCAGTTGTATGTAAACTGGACAATTGTCTTAACCCTGATGGGAACACATGCTCTAATAACACATGCTATTGTTTGTCTGGCTCATAGATTGCCATTAATATCACAGAGGCCAGACAGCTTGTGGGGGAAAACATTGACCCGAGCATAGTGATAGAGATTGGTGATGAGAAGAAACAGACATCAGTCAAGGAAGGAACCAATGCTCCTTTTTACAATGAGGTAAAAAATAAAAAGAAACAAAAAGAACCCATTTGAACCAGCTGTGCTTCAGTACAATAGTTTACTGTGCATTAACACAATCTGTCACCCTGTCCTGTCATTTCTTTCCATCAGTATTTCGTGTTTGACTTTTTTGCCCTCAAAGATGTCTTCTTTGACAAAGTGATCAAGCTGACGGTGGGTAAAGACTGCAGCGATACGTTTCTGGCATCCCTAAATGATTGGTTCAAAAATCCACAGTTTAGCTTTTAAGTAATTTTAATTCTGCCTTCATTCTCTCTCCAGGTTTTACACTCTAAAATGCTGAGGAGTTTCTCTGTTGGATCCTTTAAGTTAGATGTGTGGACAGTCTACAAACAGCCAGGTATCCTAACTTTTTAATATGCAATATTTTGCCAAACGTATCATACACACCAGTCCAAATAACTGAATTCAGTTATCAGCATGGAGACTACAAACATTAGAAAACAACTTAGAACAACCCGTTCTTAGTAAAGTCCAGTGTGAGATGTGATTATCAATATTACTTAATTAATGTTATTTAAGAAAGTATTAATGTACAATATTAACACAAATGTTCAGTGCATTTTACCAAAGTTAGCTAAAGCTAATTTGCATCAGTATAGTCCCTTGCGAGGTCAGGTGATAGGATGCTACCTGTGCTACAAGTCCAGTAATGAAATTTCCTCACTACTAAATATTCCACAATTAACTTCAATTCAAGTTTATTTATATAGCGCCAAATCACAACAAAAGTCGCCTCAAGGCTCTTTATATTGTACAGTAGATACAGAGAAAAACCCAACAATCATATGAGCAAGCACTTTGG